GCCGCTGCAGGTTGCCGTGGTAGTTGGCGCGCATGCGCCTCCGCGCCCTCCAAGCGGACGTGGAACTGTCCCTGGCGATGTCCAGCTGTGCGATCGCTGCATTGTCATGGCCTGCCGCCTGGGGCGCGTCGTCAGTGGAATGGCGATGAGCAGGGTGAGCCAACCACGCTGCGACGTACTCGACACACAACGCAATGACATGCGCCGCGTCGCCTTCCTCGTCCAGCACCGTGGGGTCTTGCAGCCGCGTCTGGGTGTGGGGCCCCAGTCTGCGCCCCAGCTGCTGTCGGTGGTGCTCCGCGCGCCGCCGTACTGGGTCTTGATCATTGGAATGCCGCGGCTGGGGCCTCCGGTCAAAGAGGCTTCTGGCCTGCGGACTCGGCGTCCTCGGAAGCGGCCCTGGCCTTGGCTTCGGCGGCCTGGGCAGCCTTGGCTCGAGCGGCCGCCCGCAAGGGCTCGGGGCCGCTGAGGTCGCGCACAGCCGCCCCAACGCCATCTGGCACAGCAGGAGGGGCAGTAGCAGCGGGGGCAGCCACGCTGCCGCCTGCCGCGGCCGCTGGGCCGTCGGCGGCGGTGGCCTCGCCGTCGGGGCCGCGGCGCCGCTTGGACTGCAGCCTGGCGTTCAGCTTCTTGGCCTCCTCGCGGGGCTTGACGATTTGCTCGGCGGCTGGGCCAGGGGCTTGCTGCGCCTTCTCCTGGACGCTGGCTGCGAGCTCGGCCTTGGTGCGGTTCCGCTCGTCCTTGTCGCTGCTGTCGATCTCGAGCCCTTCCATGCCATGTTGAAGAGCGGCCCGCCGACGATCTGCAGCGCGCCCTCGCCGACGCGGGTGGAGAGGTTGATGGCCGAAGCAGCGGGTGCCTTGACTTGGCCCTCCTCGCCTTCCAGCGGAGGCGACGGCAGCTGCTTTTTGCAGGCCGCCTCCCAGTCGAGCTGGGCCTGGTGCGCCGCTGCCGTGGCGGTGTCCTCTTCAGCTTTTGCGGCGGCCAGCCGAGCCTCGCCCCAAGCGCCCGCGCGGCGCGCAGGTCTCGAACCACGCCTGCACGCGCCTGCACGCAATGCCCTTGGTGGAGACCTCCCCCTCCAGCAGCGGCGCCCGACGAGGTGCAGGTTCGGGCTGCTGCGCCTTGGCCTCCGCCCTCTTGGCAATGAGGGTCGCAAGCTCGGCGCAGCCCCCCACCTCGGCGCGCGGGAACTCGAAGGGGTCCGCCGCGGGAGCCGCCTGCTCCGCTGCCGCTGCCGGCGAGCCGCCACCGTAGGGGGGTACTAGCCTGGCCCTCTCCAGACCCAAGGCCGACGGTCAACATGGCCGCCCTTGGCACTTCGCGGCGGCGCAGGCGGGCCCTTGCGCCCAGCCGTGGGCGCTGCGGCCGCGTCAGCAGCAACCTCGAGGGGCTCGTCGCGAGCGCGGGCGGGCCGAACGACCACTGGCCAGCAGGCTTCTTGTCGGGCGACGGGTTCGGCACCAGCGGCGAGGAGCACTGGTAACACCAGTGATTGGACTTGAAGTTCCAGCGATAGCGGCACTGCGTACATGAGACGAAGGAGCCCGACTTGCCATTGCCGCACGCGCCGCCATTGCCGCCCTTGGCGCCGCTGCGGCCCATGGGCTGACGACTTTGCTGACTGAAGCAGAGTTCCGCACGTGGGGCAGACCAGGCGGAGAAACTGAAAGCAACCGCGGTGGCAGCGGTATCCGTTGGAAGCCAGTGGGCTCCGCCCACCAAAGCATGAAGTCTTGAGCCAAAATGGCTGCGGAGGAGGAGGAGAAGGAGGAAGAGGGTGGGAGGGAAGGAGGGAGGAGGGAGGAGTGAGGAGGGGGGAGCGAGGGGGAAAGGGAAGAGGGGGGAGGAGGAGTAGGAGGAGGAGGAGGAGGAGGAGGAGGAGGAGGAGGAGAGGAGGAGGAGGAGGGAGGAGGAGGAGGAGGAGGAGGAGGAGGAGGAGGAGGAGGAGGAGGAGGGAGGAGGAGGAAGGAGGAGGAGGAGGAGGAGGAGGAGGAGGAGGAGGAGGAGGATGCGGAGGAGGAGGAGGAGGAGGAGGGGAGGAGGAGGAGGAGGAGGAGGAGGAGGAAGAGGAGAAGGAGGAGGAGGAGGAGGAGGAGGAGGAGGAGGAGGAGGAGGAGGAGGAGGAGGAGGAGGAGGAGGAGGAGGAGGAGGAGGAGGAGGAGGAGGGAGGCGTGGGGTGGGGTGGGGTGGGGTGGGATGGGGCGGGGTGGGGTGGGGAGGATGGAGGAGGAGAAGGCGGGGCAGCATTGCGTACGTCCAGGCGCGCTACCTGCCCAGCTTCTGGATGACGCGTGCAACCCAGTGGGTGTGATGCCCCCCCTCCTCCCCGTCAAAGCCCCAGGGCATTGCTTGACTGCGGTGAGTTCGCGCCGCGTTGGTCCGGCGGCGACCCAGGCGTGGCCATTCAAGGTTGAACGGCTATTGTGGTCTGAAATCGGCCGACATCGAGCGATCCGCGCTATCGTCGACTGCACGTAAGACTGACCATTCGCCGTAGTAATATTTGGTGCGGGCTCACTGCACCGGGGTCCCCCCGATCGCTGAGTGCGATGCGGTAATGGCTGCCTGCGCGCTTGGATTTGGCCATTTTGCGCCCCCCTAATCTGCGCACCAAAGGTCATTCTTGCCTAGGGTCACTCTTGCGTGTAGCCGATATCGGTAAGCCGGCCATCGTTCAAGGTTGAACGATCCACGCCATGTGAGAATCCAACACCGACGTCGTCACGATACGAACCTGCCGTGGGCAGGCCGCGGATGGGGCTAAGGGCCGGCGGTCACACACAAACAGCAAGGAGGCCCTTTGCGGGTCAAACACGATCGCGCTGTTTTTTGGTTTGTTTTTGTTCGGCGTCCTGGCGGGCCGCTCCACGGCGACGCACCTCGCCATGCGAGTGTTTTCCCCTCCCTCCCTCCCCCCTCGCCGCCGCTTTCGCCTGTCTTTCCCTCTTTCTGCCGCTGGTTCATTTGCACTTTCCGTTGCCCAGACCGCCTGAGCGCGCGTGTGGACTGCTTCTGCCACGCTGCGACGAAAAAATGATTCGGCGCCCAGGGCCCGTTTGGAGGCTCGGTGCTGTCAACGAAGAACTTGGTACCGCTCGGACGTGTGCACTTTTTCTCGGCGAGGATTGTTAAGGAGCATCCTGGATCATCCTGCGAAGAAACCGCGCACGAAACCGAAAAAGGCACAGTGAATGGACGTCCGAGCGATGGCCAGAGAAACGCTCGGGCTGGAGAGCCCGTCGCGGGGAAGGGATCGAGAGGGCCGCGGGCCCTCGACTCCAGAACCTGAGTCGTCGGAGGTCTGGGTTGGGGGAGGGTCGGGGGCGGCCAAGAGGGGGATGATGACTAGGGGGGGGTGGATACCATGGTGGGGGCCATGGTATCCCCCTCAGATTTCATGGCGCCTCTTCTTATTTCAAAACGTCCACGGCCCCCCCCCCTGGGCCGCGCACATGCCGCCAGCCATGATTTGCGCCCCCCCTCCTGGACGCCCCCCTCTTGGCCGCCACCGAGAGGGGGCGGGGCGGTAGAGAAAACAGAGTTGCGCGGTCGAAGATCTATGTGATGTCGGGGCACTTTTGCACGGGCGCGCCCTTGCGTCCCCAGCCCGTCCTCTGACAGTCTCAGGCGTGAAGTAGAAGAGCTGCTCGCAGGCTGTGCGCGCTGGGAGGCGGGATGTCCGAGGCCGCTTGGGCTCCAGCCCGCTCCGCTCTCAAGAAGCCTCAGTGGGCGCGCGGCCCCCCCGAGATTCGACGCTGCGGAAACGATGCAGCACCGTGAGAGATCGCGAGCAGAGCCCTCGAATCCATCTCTTTGCGGCTCTCTTCGAGCCAGATCGGTCTGTGAGGGCCCTGAGGCCCCGAGAAAGGGCGAGAGTGCCCGGCGTGAATCAAAATATATGGTGCGACGCCCGCGGATCTCGGGGCCTGTCCTGCCGCCCTGCCGTTCGCGCGCCGCTCCCGTCGGAGAACCCGTCCAGTCTCCGTCCGATCCGATGATCTTCAGGACGACTGTCAGCCCAGCGCGTGCTCACCCCGTCCAGCTCTGCCAGCAGCACGCAGCCTGTGTCGGCCCTCGCTGTGCCGCCTGCGAGGTGATAGGGGGGCTGCGGTGGACGAGCACACGTTGGCGCCAACGCACGTTCGGAGGACGATCGATCGACCCAGACATCCGACGTAGCATTTTTCCGCAACGTGGCTCCCCAGAGGTCTGGACTCCCTCCCAGGGACGGGCTCTCCGTCCCGAATCCTTTTCAGACCGTCTCGTGGCATGGCGAGGGCCCCCCGGGGCTGAAAACGGCAAGAAGCCTTCCGCCCTGATGTCTTCACAGCGCGAGGAAGTCTGGGTCCGCCCGATGCCCTGCCCCGGCGATGGCCGCGGCGAGCCGCGCGCTGTTCCCCCCCGCGGCGAGGGGGCGCCCCGTGGCGGCGCGCTGGCGGTGGGCGGCGCCGCGGCGGGCGAGGCGGTGGCAGAGGCCAGTGTCGCCGGCGACAGTCGAGACAGCGGCGGCACTCCCTGGCGTTCTTCGTCCCTCGTGGGGCCTCCTGGAGGCCTCTCGTCGCCACGACCCGGTCCGCCTCGGCAAACGGGTCAGGATGGAGTCCAGGGGCCGACTTTGAGCTGGCTTGGGCTGGGCGGGAGAGCTGCCGTTGTCTCAACGGGCCCCCCGCCGTGGAGGGGGCTGGCCTCTGGGGGCGGAAACATCGACCACCAACCACCCCTTCCTTGCCGATTGGGGCCTGCCCTGAGATCGTGGTGTCGCATTGTTTCGAGCACCGATGTTGCACATTTTTCGCGCCATCCGATCGGAGGGATTCCTTGACGCTCGGGGCCCGGACGCCCCAGCCCACTCAGGAGCCGCTTGGTTCTGCAGCACAGCGAGGGCCTCTGTCGCCGCTCTGTCGGCGACGCATCGCCCATCCCAGAGCGCCCCCCTGCCGTTCGCCCCTCAGGAGGCCTGCCCAGTGTGCGGCGGCTCGGGGCAGCTCTGCCGCGGCATGCTCGACCGCGCCTGCCCGCTGTGCGAGGCGGGCTCGCCGGTGTTCTGCTTCTGGCCCGCCTCGGCGGGGCCCCCCGTAGGCCTGGGTGGCGCAGCGGGGGCGCCAGCGGCCGTGGAGCCCGCCGTGGAGGCTGCGGCCGTCTGGCGGGAGGGCGGTGGCGGCGGGCGGGCGGGCGGGCAGCTCGACCAGAAGACAAACGACACCATCCCACCTGAGGCCCTCCCTGTTGCGCTACAGCCGGGGCCGTAGCGTATACCACGCAAAGACCCACGCCAGAGTTGTTGGCATACGCTAAGCCCCGTGTGGCCGTGGGTGGGGTGGTGTCGTCTGTCTTCTCGTCCAGCAGCGGCCTGGGCGCCGCCGCTCCGGCAGAGGCTTCCAGCGTGGAGGAGTTGCTGGCGTGCGGGGAGCCCGGCGAGGAGGAGGAGGCGGCCGTTGCGGCTGAGGGCGGCGGCGGCGGCGGGCGGGCGGGCACCTGTCGGGGACGCCTGCTGCGAGCCACCGCCGCCTCCCTGCCTCTTGAAAGCGCCCATGTGCCCATGTGGCCAGATGTAGTGCCAAGGTTTTGCCAAGCTATTTGCTGTGTGCTCCCCCAGCCGTGGTGGGAAAAGGGAGATCGATGATGAGGATTGGGAGTGTCGGATGATGATGATGCTGCTGCTGCTGCTGCTGATGATGATGATGATGATGATGATGATGATGATGATGATGAGGAGGAGGAGGAGGAGGAGGAGGAGGTTGATGATGATGATGCTGCTGCTGATGATGATGATGATGCTGCTGATGCTGATGATGATGATGATGATGATTATGATGGTGATGCTGATGGTGATGCTGCTGATGATTATGCAGATGATGATGATGATGATGATGATGATGATGATGATGATGATGATGATGACGATGATGACGCTGCTGATGATGAGGATGATGAGGATGATGAGGATGCTGACGCTGATGATGATGCTGATGCTGCTGCTGCTGATGATGAGGAGGAGGAGGAGGAGGAGGAGGAGGAGGAGGAGGAGGAGGAGGAGGAGGAGGAGGAGGAGGAGGAGGAGGAGGAGGAGGAGGAGGTAGGAGGAGGAGGAGCCTCTTGGGGGCCTTGCCCCCTTGGATTCCCTGGGCCTCTGGTGGCCTCTTGGGGGCCCCTTGGATCGTCTTAGGGCTCTGACGCCTTTGGAAGACGCCTTGAGGCCTTCTTGGGGAGGGCCGTCTTGGGCGTCTTGGAGCCGTCGTGGGCAGTCTTGAGGCCATCGTAGGCCCATCTTGGGTCATCTTGGTCGTGGCTGCGTCTTGGGGCCGTCTTCGAGGCCATCTTGGGCCATCTACGTAGGGTGTCTTGGAGGCCAACTTCAAGGAAATGTAGCGCTTTCCGGGTGGGCGGCTGATTGGGCAGAAGAGCACTGGAGCATTTTGGAAGGGCCAAGACACATTATAGACTTGTTGTAGGCCTCTTGCGGACCTCTGTCTGGAGGCCCTCTTGGGATGCATTTCGCTGGCTTCCTGGAGGACTCTTGAGGGTGTCTTGGGGGGTCTCCTGGGGGCTTCTTGGAGGTCTCTTGGGGGCCTCCTGGGGCCTCTTGGGATTCCTGTGGGGTTCTTGTGGGTCTGTCGGGGGGGGGTCCTGTGGACCCGCTCGTGGGGAAAGGCTGCCAAGGCCCCTTCGCCTTCCCCGTCTTGGGCTCCCCATGCGGCCCTTGTTCGGACCCCTTTGGCCTCTTGGGCCATCTTCGAGGCGTCCTGGGCCGTCTTGGGGTTCCTGGGTGCCCCGTTGACCGTCCTTGGGTGATCGTGGGGGCCGTCTCGGGCGCCCTGAGGCCAGAAAGGGCGAGAACGCCAATATGACTAAAAGACTTCTGAGGGAACTCCTTGACTTTTGCCTCTTGGGGCCTTCTTGTGGGGCCCTCCTGGAGCCCTCTTGGGGCTTCTCGGGGGGTCCTATGGCCATCCTGAGGCCAACTTGGCCCGTCTTGGAGCGCTCTTCAACTGTGTCGGGCCCTCATGAACCGTCTTGGGGCCCTCTTGCGACCCTCTTAGTACATCTTGGGGCTGCCTGACCTCGGGAGAAGTCATGCGCCACACCCCAGAAGCCTTGCGAGAAACCCCGTTTTTGGGTCATTGAGTCCTGCAAGAATATCGCAAAGGCAGCCTGTCCCGTTCTACCGACCGTGAGAAGAGCACCGCTTAGGCGGAAGAGTCAGAAGGGGGGCGGGGGCAAGAGGCAGTGGCGGCTTGAATGTGAGGGCGAAAATCGATTGGTCCTCGGCCCATCCCGCCTCTCTTGGGGGGTTGGGGCCTCTTGGGGCTTCTTGCGAGCCTCTCGGGAGTCTTGGGATTCGGTCAGAGGGGTTGGCATCCAACGTTGTGGCAGAGGCGCGTTTGTTTGGTCCCTCTTTGGCCGTCTCGGGGGCCTCCTGGGCCCCTCGTGTGGGCCTCTTGTGCCATCTTGGGCTGGTCCTGGGAGGTTCTTGGGCCGTCTTGGACGCTCTTGCGACCGATGCGGCGAGAATGTTAAAAGATCATGCAGAGCCCTTCGGGATTCATTCGATGTTGTCCTCTTGTGCCAGCCCCGACCTCTCGGCCCTTGAGACTCCTAATAGTACAGAGGTCGGCCCCGAGAGGGCTCTAAAGGGCCCCACTGGCCCAAATATAGCCAAACTGGTCTCAAGCCCCCCCCAGTCACTCCTGGGAGGGTGCACCCTCGCCTGCCCCTCCCCTCCCAGGGTACCCCTCCCGGGACCACCCCCCTGTGACCCCTCCCCCGGGATTCCCCCCTCGACCCCCTCGTGGTGGCGAAGGGATCAAAGGGGAGGTGCTTCCCTTCGACTCGATTACGACCTGGGTCGATTCATGTCGGTCTGGCTGGCGAACGTGGAGAGCCCCAGGTGGCCGCAGGGAAGGGGGGGGGATAGCCTCGATTGGAAAAGCGTCTCCCAGGACCACCCCTGGACGACCACGACGGCCCCATAGCTCCCCCTCACACACATGCCGACAGGGTCGGCGGATTCACAGTACTCCATACTGAGAGCTCGAAGAGACCTGAGGGCACTCCACTCGGTGCCTAAGGCGCGGTGGCGGATCTGGGCGACGCCACTCCAGCGGAGGATCCTGGCGCAGAGGGGACGTCGGCGGCCGCCGAGGAGGAGGCGGCCGCTCGGGGCAAGGCCATCGGCGGGTGGGCGGATACCAGTCTGGGCGTCGCCGGTCCTGCCGAGGACCCCGGCGCAGAGGCGCCGCTGGCGGCCAGGGCGGCGAGTGGGGAGGGGGAGGCCGCTCAGGGCAAGGGCAAGGGCGGCGGCGGCAGCGGCAAGGAGCCGATGGGCATCGAGCCGGGTGCCGCCGCTCCAGAGGAGGCTGTTGGCGCAGAGGGTGCGCTGGCGGGCGGGGAGCCCGCCGAGGAGGTTGCGGCGGCCAGCCAGGGCAGGGATGTCGGCGGCGGCGGGGAGCGGCGGACGGACACCGACCTGTGCGCAGACGCTGCAGCGGAGGCTGCTAGCGCAGAGGGGGCGCTGGCGGCTGCAGCGCCCGGGGAGGAAGAGGCGGCCACTCAGGGCAGGGACGCTGGCGGCGGCGGAGAGCGGCGGACGGACATCGACCTTGGCGCAGACGCTCCAGAGGCTGCTTGCGCAGAGGGGGCGCTGTCGGGCGGGGAGCCCGCCGAGGAGGAGGAGGAGGAGGAGGAGGAGGAGGAGGAGGAGGAGGAGGAGGAGGAGGAGGAGGAGGAGGAGGAGGAGGAGGAGGAGGAGGCCACTCAGGGCAAGGCCGCTGGCGGCGGCGGAGAGCGGCTGACGGACACCGACCTTGACGCAGACGCTCCAGAGGCCCCTGGCGCAGAGGGGGTGCTGGCGGACGGGGAGCCCGCCGAGGAGGAGGCGGCCACTCAGGGCAAGGACGCCAGCGGCGGCGGGGAGCATTGGATGGAGACCGACCCGGGTGCCGCAGCTGCGTCAGAGGTCGTCAGCATAGAGTGGGCGCCAGCGGCTGCAGAGCCGGCCGAGCGAAAGGGGGCGGCTCAGGGCAAGAGCGACCTGTGGCCGAGCCTCGGCTCTCCCAAACCCTCGTTGACAGAGGGGGTCCCAGACTTGCAGGAGCCTTGGTCGGCAGATGGGCACCCGAGTCCCCCGTGGGTCAGCGCTGCGGCCGCGGGCGACCATGCCGGCGGCGAGGCCCAGAGCAGGTGGGTGCAACATACGCCGCCTTCTGGCCCAGCCCTGTCGCCTGGCCCCGACGTGTCACCGCTGCCGCACGGCTGGGTGCCGACGGCGCAGCGGGGGTTGCTGGTACTGATGCCCAACGTGATGACCGAGGGTGCAGGCAGTGCGGCGCCAGGCGTGCAGCCCTCATTGGCCCCGTCGGGCTCGCTGGTCCTGAAGGGTACTGCCGACGAGGTGGCCAATCGTGTCGACGACAACGGGGCTGGCATCGTCATCAGCGAGGCCAGTGAGGCGGCCCCTTGGGGCATCGACGACGGGGGCAGTAGCGTCATCAGCGAGGCCACCGTCACGAGCAGCGACACCGCCCTCATGATCGAGGTCGGGACGCTGCCTCACGACGCCCAGCAGCCACCACCTGCGCTACGCCGCTGCGCCGTCAGCCTAGGCTGCCTGGACGGCCCGGGCGGGCGCGGAGCAGGCGGCACCGCCGAGTCGTCCGCGCGGGCCGCAACAGAGGCGAGGGATGCCGGCCTTGATGCCGACTGGTCGGGCGAAATCGAGAGAGACTGCGATGCAATCGACGCGATCGACGTGGAGGCCACCGGCGCGCTTGCCGCTGCACAGCCTAGAGGCCTCGAGCTGGCGCTCAAGCCACTGGGGGATGGCGGAGCAGCCGCGACGGCTGACAGCTGCAGTGCGGGTGGCCATGCCTCGGCCACGACCCGCGACGGGCCCGCGGACAGCGAGAGCGGCGAGGATCAGTTGGGCCTGCAGGCTGGCGACTTCGGCGATCCTGCTGTGTCTGCGGCGCCCGTCGTAGTCGCTCCGCCAGTGGTGCCAGCGCTGGCGCTGCCGGGCATGGCGGCGGCCTGCGTCGCCCTGCGGCTCAGGCAGCTTGGGTTGCGCCGCCTGCGCCGCGAGCTGCATCGCCGGTCGCTGAGCACCAATGGGACTACGCACGCTCTTGCCGACCGCCTGCACCAGGCTCTTCTCGTGGAAGAGTGCGTTCGCGAGGGCTCAGGGCGGTCGCGTGCCGAGGTCGACCGCGCGGACGGGGAGGACGTGCAGCTCGTCGCGGGGGGCAGCTCTAAGGGCGGCTCGGAGTGCCCAGCTGGCGCGCCCACCACGCCGCAGCGCGCGCGCGCGGGGGTGGCGCCGTCGCCGCCGACGCCGAGCAAGCACTCTCCTCTCCAGCCGCGCCGCCTGCGCTTCGCCGATGTCGGCGGCCTGGGGCACGCCGAGAAGCCTCTTTCGAATCGCGACCAGGAGTTTTGCCGTGGGTGCCGCGACAGTGATCGCAGCTGGCTGGCGGTGTGCTTTCCCGCCAACCATGGCGCGCAGAAGAGCGCCACGAAGCCGGTCGGCCCAGTTCTGCGCACGCAGCGGCTGCGCAAGGAGCGGCTCCCTCCGAGGCCCGCGCGGACTGAGCAGACGCCGAAGCCGTCCGAGCGCCAGGGTACTGCATCAGTGTGTGCGCAGCTGTCAACACCGCGGGCACCGCCGATCTTGCGTACCAGCACCATCGAGCGCCGCGAGAGCCTCCAGGTGGCCTTGAGGGCCGCGCGGGCACGCCGGCTGGCGGAGGCGGTCATGGAGAGCCGTGCGCTGATGGATGGAGCCGCGGAGGACGCGGCAGCCGCTTCCGAAGCCCGCTGGCTACAGGGGAAGAGAAGGAGCGCCAGCTCCCGAGCCACGAGCAGCGCCAGCAGCATCGCGCCCCTGCACCCGCAGTGAGGGGCGCGTGGCAGCGCCGCGCGCGATGCGTAGGTTGAGCTCCAGCCTCCCTTCGATGCGCCCTCGTCGTCGCCGCCGCCGTCGTCGCCGTAGTCGTCGTCGCCGTCGTCGCCGTCGTTCCTGTAGTTCTTGCAGTTCTTGTTGTTAATCGTCGTCGTCGTCGTCGTCGTCGTCGTCGTCGTCGTTGTCGTCGTCGTCGTCGTCGTCGTCGTCGTCGTCGTCGTCGTCGTCGTCTCCTCGCGGGTCGCCCCCCCTCTGTCTAGGCCGTCAGCCTCGTTCTGTGAATGCATGCCGGTTTCTGATCTGCGCACGCAGCGCAGTCTGTTGTGATGGGCACAACGTCTGCCATCCGCGCTTCCATCAGTCGCGTAGCGCGCGCGCTACCAATTAGTCTCGCCGGCGCGACGGGCTCGGTCGAACACGCGGGTCCGCAACGGCAGCCTCGTGGATGGATCCAGACATTTGGCGGCTCGACTTCTCGGAGACATGGAACTCCGTGCCTGTGGACCCCTTTCTCAGTGCCGGTTTTGCATACCGAGTCGTTTTTGACGGTCCCAGGGCTCGAAGCTGGCCTCCCGAGGCCCAAGATGATGGAAGACCGGCCGTCTCGAGTTTTTCGAGCCGCTGGGTGACAGCAGGGGAGGAGGAGGAGGAGGAGGAGGAGGAGGAGGAGGAGGAGGAGGAGGAGGAGGAGGAGGAGGAGGAGGAGGAGGAGGAAGAGGAGGAGGAGGAGGAGGAGGATCAGTGTAAGCCCAAGAGACATCAACGATGTTGGAATACACCCTCCCTCCAAGCTCCCTCTTCACAGGTCCCTACAACGGTTCATTTCCATCGAGGGATCTGCCTCGTTGGAAGACAATCGTTTGAAGACCCGGAAGCATGCCAAAACATGTTCTCGGGATTCCAACGCCACGGATCAATTTGACTGTTGCGTCTTGACGGTCCTGGATCGTGCCAGAACGCCGTCCTTGGGATTCTAACACCGCGAATCAACGTAACTGTTGCGCCCGCAAAATCCTGAATCTTTCCAAAACGCCATTTCTGGTACGTTGATCGTGGGAGTCCGTGAAAATTTTACAATTACAAATTGTCGGAACAAATGTGCGTGGCGCTAAGGCGACAGCCACATTTTGAAAAGGACCCGCCCTCAATTCGTGAAGCTCTTGCAATTTTGAGAGCGAATGTGCGCGGCGCTAAAGGCAAGAACCACATATTGAAAACGGGTAATCCTCAACCCGTGAAGCTCTTGCAAATTAATAAAGCGAATCTGCGCGGCGCTAAAGCGAGAGCCACATTTTGAAAATAGGTTATCCTCAATCCGTAAAGCTCTTGCATTTTTAGAACGAATGTGCGCGGTGTTAAGGCGAGAGCCACACTTTGCAAACCACCCGCCCTCCATTTGTGAAACTGTTGCCAATTTTTGAACTTCAGAGTCATCGATGGTGAGGAAGTCTCAGGCGAAACGCCAGCCCGCCCTAAAAACTGGCCTCGCGGTGCGACAGGGAGAAGTTGTTTATAAGGAGGAGGATGAGGAGGAGGAGGAGGAGGAGGGGGAGGAGGATGAGGAGGAGGAGGAGGAAGAATGCAAACCCAAGGTTCAACGACATTTTGCAATCAGCCCTCGCTCCAAATTCCCTTGTCATAGGCTGCTACAGACAAGTACACTGGGCTCATTTCTTTACCCCTGGGTTGGTGTATGCGCGGCCGCGTTTGCGCTGGCATGTGCGCGCATGTGCGCCGGCATGTGCGTGCACGTGCCGCGCCAGTGCGGCCGTTTGAGTTGGATGTCCTACCGGGCACGTCGTGCCCGGGCTTATGCAGGGTCATGTGCGCTGTGTTTGGGTGTTTCTATTGTATACACATGCACGCGCATGCCGACGCACATGGATGCACATGCCTGCACATACGGAATATGAACAATAATCGCAGATCTGTCAGCGGCACATGCACGCATATGCCTGTGCAACCTCCCTGCGGAAGACCGCGCGGGCCCGCACATGCACGCACATACTTTGAAGCGCGCGGCCGCACATGCTTGCACATCCCAGATGCACACGCACGCACATGCCCTCGGAGCTGTCTGGGACCCCCGGAAGTGATTTCAATGCCTCCCGTCCTTGGCAGAGCTTCCTGGGGCCTGCCAGGGCTTCCCGAAAGAGTCTGTTACAGTACGCTTGATTCGCCCACTGCTGGTGGGGTCGGTTCTTCGAACCGTTCGTATGCTGGTGGTGGCGTGCCCTCTCAGGGAAAGCACTCTTTCGCGCGCCAGCTCGGCTCGGCCAGAGGAGCGGGAGGAGAGGGAGGGGGAGGAGGATGGGGGGGAAGGAGGAGGGGGACGCCCCTGGCTCGGCCAGCCTGCCCGCTTGCTCGGCTCGGCCAGAGGAGGAGGAGGAGGAGAGGAGGAGGAGGAGGAGGAGGAGGAGGAGGAGGAGGAGGAGGGGAGGAGGAGGAGGAGGAGGAGGAGGAGGAGGAGGAGGAGGAGAGGCGAGGGACGAGGAGGGGGGAAGAGAATCAGACGTAGAGGGAAGGGGCAGACGAGAGTGGCCTGACCACCTCAGCTGACCGCCCCGACGACGCACGCTGCCCGCCCCGGCCACCAACCTGTGCAAATACTGTGCGTGGCTGTGCGGGGCATGTGCGGGGCGTGCGAGAATGTCGGGGCCGGCCGGGCCAGGGGACGCCTCCGATTCATCCGGCGCCCATCGCGCGCTCGGCGCGCGCCCCGCACGTCGCAGGCAAAAGTAGCCCGACCGCCATGGGGCAGGTCAGCTCCGAGGTCAGAGTCGTGAGGATGTCTCAGGCGAGATTGGCCCGGCCGCCCTCGGCTCAGGGAACCTTGGAACCCAGAGCTGCGAGGATGTCTCAGGCGAAAGTGGCCAGAACAGCATGGGGCAGGGCATATCCGAGGTCAGAGTTGCGAGGATGTCTCAGGCGAAATGGGTCTGACCACCTCAGCTCAGTGAATCTCGGAAGGCAGAGCTTCGATGATGTCTCAGGCGCAAGTGGCTGGACCACCATGGGGCAGGGTATCTCCGAGGTCAGAGTTGCGAGGATGTCTCAGGCGAAAGTGGCCCGACGACCCGAGCTCAGGGCATCCCGGAACCGAGAGTTGCCGGCCGCCTCAGATTTGTTGCTTTTCCATTCCATGCAGGTCGACACGAACGAAATGGGTACGGAAAGAATGGATACAATGCCCAACAGCAGTTCCTGTTCATTTTGAACAGGACTCGCTGTCGGTGTCACCGCGGCCTGTATACATTTGAGACAGAAGGCCGCCTGCCCAACAGCGGCCGCTGTAGGTTTGGGACAACATTTGTTGTTGGGCATTGTACTCATTGTTTCCGTACCCATTTCGGGCGTCCAAAGCAGGCGCCTCGGCGCCCCCTCCGCCGCGCCTTCATGGCGCCACACGCGCGGAGCCGAGTCAGAGTTCAAGCGAAAATGGCCAGAACACTATGGGGCAAGGCATCTCCGAGGTCAGCGTTGCGAGGATGTCTCAGGCGAAAGTGGCTCGAACGCCTGGGCCTCCAGGGCCTGAGCTCAGGGCATCTCGGAAGCCAGAGCAGTGGGAAAGTATCGGGCGAAAGTGCCCAGACCAACGGCAGGGCACCTCCGAAGTCAGAGTTCTGAGGACGATTCAGGCGAACGTGCCTGACCACCTGGTCTCAGGGGCATCTCGGATCTCAGAGTTGCAAGGCTCTGTCAGGCGAAAGTGGCCGGACCACTATGGGGCAGGGCGTCTCCGAAGTCAGAGTTTCGAAGATGTCTCAGGCGAAAGTGGCTGGACCACCACGGGGCAGGGCACTTCCGAGGTGAGAGTTGCGAGAATGTCTCAGGCGAAAGTGGCCTCCTCCTCTCCCCCTCCCCCTGCGTCTGATTCCCGTCCCCCCCCTTCCCTCTCAGAATCTTCTGTTTTGCATGTGCGGGCATGTGCGTTTATACTTTCGGAGTTTGTCCAGACGGTGCATGTGACTGTGCATCGGACTGTGTGGCTCCTGCGCGCATGTGCGGCCATGCTGTCGAATCCTGTGCAGGGTTGCATGTGCATGTGCATGCGACTGTGCGGCATGTGCGTGCATGTGCGGCCCCGTTCTGGATCTCAAAAACGAAACTGAGCACTAACGCATGAGCACTAAACAAATATATCCAGTTATTTTTATTGTGGGGAGAGCCCTGTTGGAAAACAACCGTTTGAACATCTTCAACTAAGCCAAAGCACCATTCCTTGGACGTCACCGCCGCGAATCAACGTTACTGTTGCGACCTGCCGATCCCAAGTCGTGCCAGAACATCATGTCAGGGACGTCAACACCGCGAACCAACGTGGCTGTCGTGCCCTGAGAATCCTAAATCGCGCCCGAACGCAATTTCTGGGACGTCAACCCTACGAATCATGGGAATGCTGTAAACTTTTAAGACGAGTGTGCGCGGCGCCACGGCGAGAGCCACATTTTGAAAAGGCACCGCCCTCCCTCCATGAAGCCCTTGCAAACTTTAAAGACGAATGTGAGCAGAGCCACACTTTGAAAACGACCCGCCTTCCCGAAACCCTTGCGAATTTTTACGGCGAGTTTGCGCGGCGCCAAGGCGAGAGCCACATTTGGTGAACGACCCGCCTTCCATCCGCGAACCCCCTGCAAACTTTTGCAAACGTTTAGGACGAATTTGCGCGGCAGTAAGGCGAGAGCCACATTTCGAAAACGGTCGCTCTCCATCCGTGTAACTTTTGCAAATCCTAAGCTTCAGCATCACAAAACGGTGGGGAAGTCTCAGGCGAAACGCCCGGCCCGCCCTGCAGACCCGTCTCGGGGTGCGACAGGGAGAATCGCCTCGCTCATTCCGCCGGCCCATATTGCCTCGCCCTTGTCGTTGGGCGGCTGCCATTTTTCGGAGGCGGTGGGGGTGGTGGGTCAGAGGCCTCATGGATGTTGGTTGGCTCTCGTGGTTGGCCTCTCGGGGGCCTCTGGGGGGCAGTTGTTATTTATGAGGAGGGGGATGGCGGAGGAAGGGGAGGAGGAGGAGGAGGAGGAGGAGGAGGAGGAGGAGGTGTAGGAGGAGGAGGAGGAGGAGGAGGAGGAGGAGGAGGAGGAGGAGGAGGAGGAGGAGGAGGAGGAGGAGGAGGAGGAGGAGGAGGAGGAGGAGGAAGAAGAGGAGGAATAGGGGGACGGGAGCAGGCGTGAAAGGATGGCGGGAGCCGTGACGAGAGACGGACTCGTGCTGGCTTCGGTGGCCTTGGGCCCTAAGTGTAGTCTTGCAAGGACCAGGGCAAAGACACACTTTGGCGGCCGCAGCACAGCGCGGCGGTGGTTGCTGTTGCAGATCGTCATCCTCACTTGCGTCCCATCTTTACTGCTTTGGCGGATTCCTGAACAGCGAATGCTTGGGTGCTGCCAGGAGGCGGTCCTGGCCCAGGGTGGCCCCAGGCTGGCCTTAGAGCATCCCCCACGAGGCCCAGGGGGGCCCCAGAGCTTCCAAGGTGGCGCGAAAAGCTGGGGGGCAACTTGGGCCAGGGCCACGTCTGGCAACCGCCGATGTGCTGTGAGGGTCGGAGTCAAATTTCCAAAACGGCGGGTGCAAATATGGATTACTTGTTGTGTCAGTAAGGGCGTCGTTGCGTCCAACCAAGCCTGGAATCTGTGGCCCGCAGTTCTTGGATCTCTTTCCCCCCGCGGTGCTGTATGCCACCGTGCCCCCGATTCTCGGATCCGCTGTACGTGCGGCTCCGTGCGGCCCCGTGTCCTTCTGTCTTGGGCGCGCTGTCCGTGCGGTGCCGTGCCCCCCCCAGCTCTCTGGTTCTCCGGCCCGTGCCTGGGTGGCGCCGCGCGCGGCCGTGCCCCTGTATCTCGCTTCTGCTGCTTCTGTGGCGCTGTGCGGTTCTGCGCCGATCGAGTTCGGTCAGAGCATGAGGACGACCAGCTTTCCAAGGGCACCTTTCCATCATCGCATCTTCGGCCCGTCCTTGGCCACTTTCGCTGGCCGTGCTCGCTCAACAGGCTGCTGGCCATTATCGCTGGCCGTGCTTGGGCGTCCAGGGTCCTCTGCACACACTCACCGCGCATCCCCGTGGCCCCGCCGCGCTGCAGCTCTCGGAGATCCGCTGCCTGCGCGGGTGCCGCGCGGTGCGGTGCTCGCAGTTGTCGGATCCGCTGCCCGCGCCGAGCGGCCAGGATTTCGGATCCGCCAGGCCAGGCGGTGCCGTGTGGTGCTGCGCGGGGCGGTCCAGCAAGAGGTCCTCGCCCTCGAGGGCTCGACAGGTTCGACGTCTCTTCCTCGGCGAAGGGCCGACGAAAGTAAACCGAGGGTGGCTCCGCCGGCGGAAGGGCGGCGGAAGGCCGGCGGCACGTGAAAAAAGGCTTTCCAAGAGACGCCAGGTTTTGGAACTCAGTTGCTTGCGCTTGCAATCGGCTGTTTTTCGATGCAAGGTTTCTGGAGCGACCCATGTAGCATCTCGGGTCTTTGCGAAAAGGCTGTAGGCATTGAATTCCATTCTGAAACGAGAACGCTTCCGTGTCACCCATGCGCGCGTTCGTTGCCATTCATTTATTCGACAAGCCAGGTCGCCGGATCATGGCGGGGTAGGGAGAGGGACAAATGATTGATGGATGGCCAGGAGACCGTCTTCAGCATCGGTGAGGTCTCCAAAGAGGCGAAGGCGATGCTGGCAGGCATGCCAATCGACGGGGAGCCTATGCTAGGGCCACTGCCGTCACCCCCGCCGCCACTTCTATCATCTGCAGCGCCGGCGATGCATCTGTCGGTTCAGACTTGCAGTTGTTAGTCTGGGACGGAGCTGTCGCGCGATCTCCAGAGCGTGCTGGTGGATGTGACATCTGGCCAGCCGCCGTCCCGTGCACATTGGCGGCATGTCCAAGGGAGTGGCGCCAGGGGGGGGGACCTTGCAGAAGCCTGGGAGGCTCCTTAGAAGGCAGGCGCCTTCCCATATGGGCTCGGGGGCTTCTGAGAGTGTTTCTCTGATGGAAGCCGGGAGGGCTTCCAAGAAGCCCCAGTGCCTCGTTGGAAGCCCTCCAGTTTCAAGCTTCTTAGGAGGTCGACCGATTCCGAGCGCCACCAAGCAGAGGAGAAGAGGGATGAAGAGGAGCAGGAGGAGCTGTAATGGATGAGGATGATGAGTGAGGAGGAGGAGGACGAGCAGGAGGAGGACCAGAGTAAACCCACGACGCGGCAGCATTGCAGCAGTACACCCTCCCGTCCCGATTCCCCCCCTCATAGGTCCTTGCCGGCCTTCCTTTTCGCTACAAAGAGCGCTCCCCTTGAAAGACCAGCGCATGTGGGCCTGCCATTTTGGCGAGGGCCCCGCCTTGAACAGGAGCTGCCTGCATCCTTCTGGCCCGTAGTCAAGAAGTCGAAGAGGTACCATCATGCAGTTCAGCGAGGTGTCCAGCGAGATCCCCACTTCGAAGAAGGACCGCCCCCCATTCGTTTAATGGTTGCACACGTTTGCAGTTGTGGTCACGCAATTCGAGGAAGTCCCAAGCGAGAGCGCAATACATAGAGCCATCTGCGCTGACGCTTCGGACCTTCAAAATTAACGAAGTGTCGAACGAGGATCCCAAGTCTAAAAATATCAGTCATCCACCTTCTAAGTGTTGTATCAAGAGAACGAGTGTGTGCGTCGTTGGGGCGAACTTCATTGTTTGAAAAAACGGGTGCTCAATCGTTCTTATTGTTGCGAGGTTTTGGGGCGAATGTGCGCCGCGCTAGGGCGGGAGGGCCTATCCTTCCTTATCCCCTTCCTCCTCCATCCCTTTTCCTGATTCGTATCTCCTCCCCGTTGCATCCCCAGACATGTCAGTAGGGCGGGCTGGGTATTTCGCTTTAGAACTCCTCACCATTGATGGCGCTGAAGCTTGAACTTGCATGTCCTGTTCGGCACACCCCTCACGCGTGCCCTACAGGGAGCTCCACCGAAAGCCCCGGTGGCAGGGTCCGCATGGCACCGCCGCCCCATTTCGGTACACCCCTCACCCGGTTCGTGGCTCCAGAGGGAGGTCCACCGAAGGCTCCAGTGGCAGGGTCCGCATAGCACCGCCGTCAAATTTCCGCACACCCCTCACACGGTTCGTGGCCCCACAGGGAGCTCCACCGAAGGCTCCAGTGGCAGGGTCCGCATGGCTTCGCTGCTCCATGTCCGTACACCTCTCACACGGTTTGTGACCCCACAGGGAGCTCCACCGCGGGCCCCAGCGGCAGGATCCGCATGGCACCGCCGCCTCATTTCGGCACACCCTTCACACGGCTCGTGGCCCCATAGGGAGCTTCACCGAAGGCCCCAGTGGCAGGGTCCGCATGGCACCGCCGCCCCATTTCGGACACCCTTCACACGATTCGTGGCCCCATAGGGAGCTCCACCGGAGGCCCCAGAGGCAGGGTCCGCAGGCACCGCCGCCCCATTTCGGACAGCCTCCACACGGCTCGTGGCCCCATAGGGAGCTCCACCGAAGGCCCCAGTGGCAGGGTCCGCATGGCACCGCCGCCCCATTTCGGACAGCCTCCACACGGCTCGTGGCCCCATAGGGAGCTCCACCGAAGGCCCCAGTGGCAGGGTCCGCATGGCACCGCCGCACTATTCTGGCACCCCTCACAGGGCTCGTGCCACCCCATAGGGAGCTCCACCGAAGGCCTCAGTGGCAGGGTCCGCATGACACCGCCGCCCCATTTCGGCACACCCCTCACACGGTTCGTGGCCAATTAAGGAGTTCCACCGAAGGCCCCGGTGGCAGGGTCCGCATGGCACCGCCGCCCCATGTCGGCACACCCCTCACCCGGTTCGTGGTTCCATAGGGAGCTCCACCGAAGGCCCCAGAGGCAGGGTCCGCATGGCACCGCCGCCCCATGTCGGCACTCCCTCACACGGTTCGTGGCCCCACATAGGGAGCTCTACCGAAGGCCCCAGTGGCAGGGTCCGCATGGCACCGCCGCCCCATTCAGGCACACCCCTCACACGGCTCGTGGCCCCCCACAGGGAGCTCCACCGAAGGCCCCAGTGACAGGGTCCGCATGGCACCGCCCCCCCATTTCGGCACACACCTCACACGGTTCGTGGCCCCATACGGAGCTCCACCGAAGTCCCCGGTGGCAGGGTCCGCATGGCACCGCCCCCATGTCGGCACACCCCTCACACGTTTCGTGACCCCATAGGGAGCTCCACCGCCAGCTGTACCCACGCGGTATTCACAAAAGCGTATGGTGGGGTCTTTCGCCAGGATATTTCCCAACCATCCTGTGGTGTTGAGTTCTCGTTTTGAAGAGAGAGCGCCCCGCGTCTCACTCCCTCCTCTCCCTCCTCCCCCTCCCCTCCCTGCCTCTGCTCTCTCGCATGCCCACGTCGGCGCACCCCTTACACGTTTCGTGGCCCCATACGGAGCTCCACCGAAGGCCCCAGTGGCAGGGTCCGCATGCAGTTCCATGTCCATTTCGGCGCACCCCTCACACGTTTCGTGGCCCCATAGAGTGTTCCACTCAGGGCCCCAGTGGCAGGGTTCGCATGCAGTTCCACCTCCATTTCGGCGCACCCCTCACACGGTTCGTGGCCCCATAGGGAGCTCTGCCCAAGGGCCCAGTGGCAGGGTCCGCATGCAGTTCTCCCCCCCATTTCGGCACACCCCTTACAAGTTTCGTGGCCTCATAGGGAGCTCCACCGAAGGTCCCAGAGGCAGGGTCCGGATGCAGTTCCACCTCCATTTCGGCGCACCCCTTGCACGTTTCGTGGCCCCCAAAGGCCCTAGTGGCAGCGCCCGCACGTGGTTCCGTGGCAGGGTCCACATGCAGTTCCACCTCCATTTCGGCGCACCCCTTACACGGTTCGTGGCCCCATAGGGAGCTCTGCCCAAGGGCCCAGTGGCAGGGTCCGCATGCAGTTCCACCTCCATGTCGGCGCATCCTCACACGGATCGTGGTCCCATAGGAAACTCCACCGAAGGTCCCAGTGGCAGGGTCCGCATGCAGTTCCGCCTCCATGTCGGCGCACCCTCACACGGTTCGTGGCCCCATAGGGAGCTCCACCGAAGGTCCCAGTGGCAGGGTCCGCATGCAGTTCCACATCCAGTTCGGCGCACCCCTCACACGGTTTGTGGCCCCATAGGGAGCTCCACCGAAGGCCCCAGTGGCAGGGTCCGCATGCAGTTCCACCTCCATTTCGGCGCACCCCTCACATGTTCGGTGGCTTCATGGGGTGCTCCGCCGAAGGCCCCAGTGGCAGGGTCCACATGCAGTTCCACCTCCATGCCGGCGCATCCCTTACACGGATCGTGGGCCTATAGGGTGCTCCGCCGAAGGCCCCAGTGGCAGGGTCCACATGCAGTTCCACCTCCATTTCGGCGCGCGCTCCCCTCACACGTTTCGTGGGCTTATAGGGTGCTCCGCCGAAGGCCCCAGTGGCAGGGTCCACATGCAGTTCCATTTCCATTTCGGCGCACGCCTCACACGTTTCGTGGCCCCATAGAGTGTTCCACTCAGGGCCCCAGTGGCAGGGTTCGCATGCAGTTCCACCTCCATTTCGGCGCACCCCTCTCACGTTTCGTGGCCCCCAAATGCCCTAGTGGCAGCGCCCGCACGTGGTTCCACCTTGCACGTCGGCGCACCCCTCACACGTTTCGTGGCCTCACATGGGGCGGCATCGGCGGCTCCGGTGGCAGCGTCCGCATGGCGTACCCGTGCCAATTGTGGCACACCCGTCACACGCGTCATGGCTCCATAGAAAGGTTCACCGAGAACGATACCCACAAATGCGTTACACACAGCTGCGCATGTCTGGGTCCTTCGCCAGGATTTTTCCCCTCTCTCAATTGGTTTCGGAAATCAGCAGTCCAGATGCCCTCATGAGTTTCAGTGTTGCTTGCGCAGAGACAGAGCGGATCCCGCAACCGTTTCTGATCGAGCCTCTCGGCGTTGAGGCCGCCGTGGCGCTGAGGAGAAAAATCCGATGCCGCAAATCATTGTCAAGATGTCACCGGAGCACCGGAGAGGCGCTCAATCCACTGCAAGAGATCGAGGGTTATCTGAAGGCGTTCGGTCGACGACTCGATAAACATCGAGACAGTAGCGCAGGAGCTGCAGGAGACAAAGAGGGAGCTCGGAAGGGTGCTTGGATTGCTGGAGCAACAGACGGTGTCGATCACGGACTTGCAGCAATATCGAAAGCAGCAGGAGGCACAAGCAGCACGCGGACAGCGGCACGACAAAGAACTAGTATCCAGCCTGCTCGGCGACAACAGGATGCCCCCGACGTTCGACAACGTCAAGAAGCCCGACTATCACGATTGGAACTTCAAGTTCAAGGCGTTCATCGGCAGCCAGAGCCAGAAGCCGATCACAGGGCTGGCACAGGTGGAGTGCAGCCAGAACCAGCTTCCCTTCAGCAGCTAGGACGGGGAGCGGAGGCAGCTCGCGAAGTCGCTTTACTTCCAGCTGACGATGTACACGGAGGGAACGCTGCTGGGCATCATCAGGAAGGTCAGCAATTTGGACGTCTTCGAAGCGTACATGAGGCTGTCGTACCAGTATGACCCGCAGAACATGGGCAGCGTGCTCTCGAGGCTGATGCAGGTCTGGAGTTCGACTCCGGCACGGAGGCAAACTTCCTGGACGATGTGGTCTCGTTCGAGAATCTGACGGAGGAGTGCGAGAAGCTGGCCGACGAGACGCAGAGCGACAGCATCAGGAGTGCCGTGCTCATT